AAATCAGCTTCTCTTAGACAAAAAATGTAAATTAATAACTCAAATAAAACTCCAAACATCTTTCATTGTGTTACTTTTTTGTAAAGCTCTTTTAGTTTTAAACCTGATGTTTATAAGCTTCTTAGTTTTTGCAACAGTCTGTAAATATACACAACTTTATAATAAAATGCACACATTTACCTTTTTCTAGACTAAACACAGGTATGATCCTAAGTTAAAAAAATATGAGGTTATCATGAGGTTGTTAACATCGCAATTTATCAGTGGATGTTTGCTGGAACTACTTGTAAACAGCGTGTTTCCTGACGGACACACACAGCGTGACTCCGGTCAGGTAGAGACCGGTCTCAAGTCAGCACCGATGCAGACTCGCTGTTTGAGGGCTTGATAGCCCACTCCCCCTCCACACCTCTCCACACTCGTTGGTTTGGAACAGCACTTAATGTGGCGGACCCTCCGGGCGAACGCGCAAACGGAGGGGTAGTGTGTAGGGGTAGGGTGTAGCATTTCGTTGTGTCCCCGAGACACTTCACCCCAAAGTGCTCCTGTGGGGATTGCCCACAGTATTGAGTAGGTAAGCTTTGGATAAAAGCGTCTAACAAGTGACATGTAATGATTCAAAAAGCTTTTGGTGGCCATATTGAATAACAAACCAATGTGGTTTACTTGTTATCCACAGTTTAGCTGCTAAATGTTACCTTTACAAAGCTACGCTGAAAACACAGCAAAGTTCATATAACGGTATTAGGTTAGTTGAAACTAATATTTTTATAGTTAAACTCAACACTTTTCTTTGTGCTCCACATATCTAAATGTATAAAGTGTGTTTTCACCTCCGTTCCCTCCTGTTTGCTGCAGTATGGCAGCAGCGGTCAGGATGGGATCCTCTGTGATCAGATAGTGGTCCTGATGGTGTCCGCTGACCGGGCGCAGGCTGCCTACTCTCAGCGGGGGGGAACTGAACGTGGAAACTGTGTTTCTCTGAGGGATCCTCCATGTAGTCTGAGAAGCCTTCTGAGGAAACAAGGTCAAACTATTTAGGATAATACTATGAGAAGGAACAATGTTAAGCCAGTAAATAGAATTTCAATTACATTTCTACTTAAATGTGCAAAAATATTAGAACATCAGTCTTTGTGGCATGCAGGTAATCAACTGTTTAAGCTTTTACCATTAACATGTAGAATGAATGTTGCAAATTACTTGAAATTACTTCAACTACAATCTATTGTTTACCTCTATGCATTAGCCACAGAGGTAGCATTATGTCCAGCTAGCATGCCAATTGCTAACGATATATTCTCGTTTTATCCCGGAGGGGAAAACTAGTTTCTAATCCTGAGAGAAACACCTCGCCTGAAACACACGATTAGTGCCATGAGTTAGTGAAGCAAATTACAGAACATTGCACTTATTCACAAGTCAAAACGTGTTCATAGCGGGCATGGATGAGAATAGCTAGCTAGCTAGATGTTATTAGCCAGCTTGGACCTAACGTTAGCAAGTTCTACCATGGCTAGCTCGATCTACTGAGCAAATAAAAGTACATCTAAGACCAGTATTGTGCAGATTAAAACAGTGCAGTGCATGTATTTTATTTTACCTTGGTAGTCGTCCCGACATGACTTTGCCAGGTCTGCTAACTTTGCAGAGCCAGAGAAACTGCATTCAGTAGAAGCTTCGGAATGTGGCGCTTCGCGTCCTCCGAGTCAATCGCCAGAAGCGCAGACACATCCTCATCCTCATCACTCATCCTCATCACTCCACCGCTCCAATTGATTTATTTAGTGCTGCTTTCACAAAAGGAATCTCTTCGTGTGTGCTGCGAAGCGAGGAAATACAATGGCCGCTTACAACAAAAAATTCTGAGTCAAACGGGCGTGGTTTGCATTCCGCACAGCCAATCAGACGTAGGAACTACTTTCTCCCACAACAGACCCTGCTCTGTGGCAGGGACTGAAAAGCGAGTCTCGCGAACTGAGCTACTTTAGTTCCTGGGGCTTTTTGGTGTGAACGCAAATATATCGTAGTTCTGATGAACTATTGTGGGAAAAGTACACCAAAGTACTCCGGTGTGAACGCACCTAAGGAGTTTGACTGTGATTTTTCTTCTGGCAGAATCTACACAACACATCAGCCCCATTGAACACAGCCTATTCATGCCAGCCTAAACAACACATGGGGGGCAGAGTTTTACTGTGTGTGTTGCAACTTGCATATATATTTATTGCACTTGACGTACACACACGCATGGCATAATTTCCACTGGGGACAGGGGGGACATGTCCCCCCCACTTTTCAAAATCCTGTTTGTGTCCCCCCCACTTTACAAATATGTTTATTATTATTTTTTAACGCAAGCCGCCATCGCCACGGAGGAGCACACAGCCTCTATGAGCGAGCGAGACAGAGAGAGAGAGAGCGAGCGAGCTAGAGCGTGCACCAGTTACGGGGATTTTTATTGTTAGCATCTGGTGCTTGCTCAGAGCTTACAGATATTAGAAGCTGTTTTTACAACAAGGAGAGGGAGAGCTCTCTCCTGTCAGACTGAGAGGCTGATAACTACAGCTCAGTGAGGTAAAGGACTCTCTGAGTGTTTGGATAGTTAACTTTAGTCTAAGTTATCTCAGTGGTTCTCAAATTCTTTGGTCATCTAGGTAAACAAATATTTCCAATGCACACCTTTATCTATTTAATATAATTGTAAAAAATAAAGTAAGAAATCATTCCAATGTGTACTATAGGACAGTAAAAAAATAAAAATACAGTTTAAAAGGAGAGTGATTAGTAAAATGTGCATAAATAAAAAGAAAGAATGCTAACTAGGTAACATAAGATAAGAATGAACAAGTTTAAATGATTTGTTATTGGTTGTGATCATATTCTAAAGATGTTTGGATTATTGAAAAGTATACAGCTCTCTTTCATATGAGTGTTGAGAGCTGTATCCATCAATTCATTTGGTGCTCAAAGTGCACCAGATTGATGCATTTCACTTCAACATTTAAAGGGGACCTATCATGCAAAATGCACTTTTTTATGTCTTTTATACAAAAAGATGTGTCCCTGGTGTGTCAGGGAACTCACGCAGCGTCAGAAAATAAAACCCTCTCTCTTTTCCTCCGTACCCAGATCTCTAAAAACGGGGGTACAACGGAGCTGATCCAGATTTGCGTCCGATATGACGTCATATCAGCAATGCAGACCCACAGCAGCACTATCAGAAACGTTGCTATCAGAAACAATGCCCGACTGTTTTGGACGTAATATGGTCGGTGTTTACATTAGCATCGCTAACATTCAGAGCTAACCTGTAATGCATGTGTGTGAAGAAGCAGGAAATATAAAGGAACTCACCTTGTGGTATAACCGGCAAGAGAGAAAGCCTTTGAGCTCCATACTGTTTCAGAAATAATCCTTGATAATCCATGATATGGCGTTTCATCACGGCAGTATCTGCCGGTAGAATCTCCCGCATGAGCCGGCATAAGCTCTGCCCCTCTTTTGTATCAATTTCTTTTAAAGCTTTATACCCAAAATCAGCACTTTTGAAACAGGAAGTGAAATAGAGGGATATGATGCATGGCTAGAATCTGTTTGGTATATTGAGCAAAACACTTCATAGACATGTTTTTTATATATTTTTATATATCTGAGACCCATGCCTTAAAATAGCATGATAGATGACCTCTAAAAAAAATGTCTCCCGGGGGAGCATGCCCCAGGACCCCCCTAGAGTATGTGAGGTCCACCCCCAAATAAAGCAGGTTAAAATAATTAAACTGCATACATTTTCTTTTAGTAAACACTGCAAACGGGTCCCACAGACCCAAACAGCACACAAAGGTAAGCATATAATAATGTTAAAATGTGCTAAATATATACACTGCAAAAAACTTGTTTCATTTTTTGAAAGTAGCTCTCATCCTAAAAAAGGTTGGAGACCTCTAGTCTAGATTATAATTTTTTAAGAGCGGTTTAATGACTGCAGTTTTCAGGGCCTGTGGAAATACGTAGGAGATCTGAGGCCATGCAATGAAAAACATTTTTGAAAAAGCCTGTTGGTATAATATCAAGGCAGCAGGAGGAGGATTTCAGAAGTTGAATAATGTCTTTGAGGTTTTTATCATTAATCAGATGGAATTGTGTCATGGTGTTTGAATTGATTTTAATTGGACACAGGGACAACACATTTGCTGACCCTGATACAGAGGCAACGACTGCTTGTCTGATTTTCTGAATTTTGTCAGTGAAGAAGGAGGCAAATTCATTGCAGGCCCTGGTGGATAGAAATTCAGAGGCTACTGACACTGGGGGGTTTGTTAGTCTGTCGACAGTAGGCACGTGCGTTGTTTGTTTTTTTTTGGCAATGATGTCAAAGAAGAAAGACTGTCGTGCATTTTTCAATTCCAAATTATAAAAAGCCAAATCTCTCTTTACAGAATTCAAAATGAACCTGGAGATTTGTGGTTCGCCACCTGCGTTCAGCTTTTCGATTCTCTTTTTTCTGTCATGGCTAGTGTAGTACTAAAGACCAGTTAAAAAGTGGTCTCGAGACCACTTTTTAATGTCTTGAACTTATCTCGGAGTCGACTGCATTTGGTCTCGGTCTTGTCTCGGTCCTATAGGTCTCGAGATCTTATGTCAAGACTGGTCAAGAGTACAGCTGCCACACAGTTAAGCTCTTGCAGCTACTTCCCAGTTAAAGCCCAGAAGCAACACGCTCTTGACGCAGGCAGCTTGAGGTTTTTTTTTGCGACAGGGACACCTCAACAGTGACATATTTGAGCTAGAATGAAATGCCTAGTGCTAGATAAGACAAATTATACATGGGAGTTTGCCACAACGGGAGTAGTAGGCAAGTAGTTTGTTTGAATGGGTGTTCAATAGCAGTGTGTATATGTGTCCTGCCTGAGCTTGTTGTTGTATTGGTATATTGGTGTGTGTGAATTGAGTTTCACTGGATGAGAGTATGCTTTAACTGCTCTCTCCTGTCCTACCTTGGCTGGTCAGGGTGTTGTAGCCGATGATGGAGATTCCGAGGCTTTGGCCGTCATTCTTGGTTAGGGGAACCTCATGGACTTCATACCCCTCCAGGTTAGGCTGCAACACAAACATAGAGTTCATATACAGTATATATTTGAGATTGCACTGTCTCTAAGACAGCAGCAATCAGATCACAAACAAAAGAAAATCTGCTTTTGTGTCTTTGTCCAGCACAAAGTTCTCCTCTGAAATAATTGTACAACTTCAAACTTAACTTAAAGGGGACCTATCATGCAAACCAGGGAACTCACCAAGTGTCAGAAAACACAACCCTCTCTCTTTTCCTCCATGCCCAAATCTCTAAAAACGGGGCTGCAACGGATCTGATACAGACTGATCCAGATTTGAACATTCCTCTGACGTCAGGACGGCGGAGCTGACCTATCAGGGGAATGAGAGGTTGCCGTGGCATGGTAACAGCATGGTAACACGACGCTCGTAACTCAGCCCCCTCCTTTGCAGGGGGCGTGGTCAGCTGCAGCGCATGCAAGGACAGGGTGGAGGAAAGCAAAATAGAGCGAAATGAGGCATGGCTAAAATGCATGATCTGTTTGCAGCGACGTGCAGTCAGGGGAGGCAGGGGAGGCAGAGCCTCACCTGTCATACTCCAATGTAACGGAAAAACAACTAAAGAAAAACTAAATAGTAATAATAATAAAATGTCTCCACTGATCTGTGTTGTAAGTGTGATTTATGTATGATTCAAATCGCTTTTTATAGTCAAAATCAGCAAATTTGCCGAGCTCCGCTACGGGAGCGATGAGAAGTGAGGCAGGGACGTGCTCTGCCTCTCGTAAACCCACAGTAACTTGCTGGAGCGCGGGCACTAATTTAGCGCGGGCACTTATTTTGTGAGCGCGCTCCAGCCAGTTACTGTGGGGTAAGGTGAGGCACAGATGAGATCTGCCTCACCTCAGAATACGTCACCCCACAGAAACTGGCTGGAAAGCGGGCCCTAAGCGCATGCCTGTTACCATCTCACTGTAGGTCACCAATGTAATGTTTGTAGATCCCTTTATTACATTTATCCTCACCATCCATAGTCTCTAAATAACTTATTTCACGTATAGCCTATATGATATTTAGGCTCGCTGGTCTCATCGTACAACGGCAATGAAAAAAGCACCAGGGGAGGCAGCCATAACCTCTGCCGCACTGAAGGGGGCGCACGTGAGCCCACAGGTTCTTGTTGCTACTGTAATTCTACGCAGAGACGGTAGACGCAAACAACAAACTAGACTTTTGAAACTACAGGAAGATAAGGAGGACTTTTACAAAAAAGTAATAGAGATTGTTGTCCAGAAGGATAGCATGGACTTCATCTTCAAGAACAAGGTAAGACCACATTTGTAATGAACATGGGATCTTACTAAGAAAGAACAATCCAATATTTAGATTTTGGGTATCCTTTTGTTGAACGGCCTGTTTAAAATGAATCCAAGCATCAGACTAAAAAAGCTTTTGAAAATAACCGAATATTTTGATTAAGGTCAAAATATAATATTTGTAAATCTGACTCCGTGAGTCAGTGCCTCACCAGCCATGAACCTCACCGCACGTCACTGTCTGTTTGGTATTTTGAAAAAGAAAACGTATAAATGTACCTTAAAGGTATAGGTATGGCCCGACAATATATTATTCAAATATAGCATGATAGGTCCACTTTAACTGAAATTGTTCCTACGTGATGGTTCTTTGGACTGCTCACCGTCTTGCTGGGCCGGCGTTGGGGGGGTATGCCAGGGGGGCGTGGGGGTAAGGAGGAGACCGGGGCCGAGGCAGGAGGGGGTGGAGGAGGCGGGGCTGTTGACTTTTGACCCTGTGGATCCCTGGAGATGAGCAACGTCACATGACTCCCACAGCCCTGCAGCACGTTGACGACCTGGTCGCTTGTGAGGCCGCTAGTGGGCGTCGCCCCGATGCGCAGGATGTGGTCACCTGTGCGGAGACGCCCATCCTGATTGGAGGAGAATGGGGCATTAGAGCCAATCAAAAAGAAACACTGGATTGGGTTTTGTCCTACATTTATTTTAAAGATTCATGATTTGAAGATTCAAAGGCTTTTTTAGTCATATGCACAATAGTGACAGTAGAGTTTTGGCCCATACTCCTCCAACAATGCAACATAGGGCAACAAATAACTAAATTAAAAAACAATGTAAAATAAATGACAGTGTAAGAGAATGTGCAAGTGACCAATGTGCAAGTTAGTGCAGAAACACATAAACTACATACATGCAACATAGAATAAGATTAAGAAAAGATAACAGAATAAGATCTAATAAAAACAATACTGTAGAGTGGAATATAACTGTACACAAATGGCTATTATTTTTCTATCATTTGAATTTTAAAGCAGTCATTTAAAAACATTCCTTCTATAGTTCAGTGTACAAACAAAAATGTGAGCTTGAACAATTAAATAATAAATTAAATAATAAATAATACAATAATACAATACGCATCACTGTTGAGTGATGCGCCGGTGAAGATGGCCGCATCGTCTTTTGGACCGAGACTTCACGGCCAGATGCGGCGTTCGTTGTGGCCGGAGATTTCAACACCGCCAACATGAAGAAGGTCTTGCCAAAATATTATCAACACATCAGCTGCCCGACGCACGGGGGAAACATACTGGACCATGTTTATTCCCCTTTTCGACATGGATATAAGGCTCTCCCTCGCCCTCCCTTCGGCAAATCAGACCACATCTCACTGCTGCTGCTGCCTGCTTACAAGCAGAAACTTAAAAGGGACAGACCGGTAACAAGGACAGTACAGCGATGGAGTGAGGAGTCAGATTCAGCACTGCAGGATTGCTTTGCATCCACGGATTGGAGTGTGTTTGAGGACAATAACATCAACACACACACGGACACTGTCATCTGCTACATTGGGAAATGCATCGATGACGTGGTACCGAAGGTTACTGTACGAACATTCCCAAATCAAAAGCCCTGGATAAACGGCGAGGTGCGCGGCAAGCTGAAAGCGCGCACTATCGCGCACAGAGCTGGAGATTTGGAGGAGTACAGGAAATCTAGGTATGATCTCCGGAGAGCAATTAGCAATGCAAAGAGACAGTACAAAGAGAAGGTGGAATCTGACTTCAAAGGCTGTAACACCAGGAACATGTGGGCGGGACTAAGAACAATGACAGACTACAAAGGAGCAGCGGGGGGTGCTGCGGGAGTGTCTGCGTGCGCATCTCTCCCAGATGAGCTGAACAGTTTTTTTGCACGCTTTGAGAGCAGCCGGGCTGTGGAGGTACAGAGGGACCAGGAGCTATCCTACCCTTTTGTTTTAAACAGGGCAGATGTGTGTAAATCCTTTAAAAGGGTTAACCCACACAAGGCTCCTGGACCTGATAGCATCCCTGGCCGTGTTCTCAGGGTGTGTGCAGTTCAGCTGGCAGAGGTGTTCACAGACATCTTCAACAGGTCCCTGCTGCAGTCTGTAGTCCCCACATGCTTCAAACATTCCACTATCGTTCCTGTCCCAAAAAAGACAATAATCACCTGCCCCAACGACTACCGCCCAGTAGCACTCACCTCCATCATCCTTTAGTGCTTTGAGCGGTTAGTCAAAACCTTCATCACCTCCTCCCTCCCTGACTCTCTGGACCCCATGCAGTTTGCCTACAGGGCAAACAGGTCCACAGACGACGCCATAGCCCTCACCATCCACACTGCCCTCTCACACCTGGACCAGAGGAACACATATGTGAGAATGCTGTTCATTGACTACAGTTCAGCATTCAATACCATTGTGCCCTCCAAGCTGGCCATCAAGCTCAGAGAGCTCAGGCTCAACAGCGCCTTCTGTGATTGGATCCTGAACTTCCTGACGGGCAGACCCCAGGCAGTGCGGGTGGGAAACATCACATCCTCCACCCTGATCCTCAACACCGGTGCCCCTCAAGGCTGCGTGCTCAGCCCTCTCCTCTACTCCCTGTTCACTCACGACTGCGTGGCCACACACAGCTCCAACACCATCGTGAAGTTTGCTGACGACACGACCGTCATCGGCCAGATCACAGATGATGACGAGACGGCGTACAGAGAGGAGGTCGAAAACCTGACATCTTGCTGCCAGGATAACAACCTCCATCTCAACATCAGCAAAACAGAGGAGCTGATTGTGGATTACAGGAAGCAGCAGAGAGAGGGACACGCCCCCATCGCCATCAATGGAACTACGTGGAGAGAGTCAGCAGCTTCAGGTTCCTTGGGGTCCACATCACTGAGGACCTGACATGGTCTCTTCACACCACCACCATCACCAAGAAAGCTCGACAGCGGCTCTTCTTCCTCCGCAGGTTGAGGAGGTTCAAAATTGATTCCAGGATACTCTGCAACTTCTACAGGTGCACCATAGAGCATCCTGACCTTCTACAGGTGCACCATAAAGAGCATCCTGACCTTCTACAGGTGCACCATAGAGAGCATCCTGACCTTCTAAAGGTGCACCATAGAGAGCATCCTGACCTTCTACAGGTGCACCATAGAGAGTATCCTGACCTTCTAAAGGTGGACCATAAAGAGTATCCTGACCTTCTACAGGTGCACCATAGAGAGTATCCTGACCTTCTACAGGTGCACCATAGAGAGCATCCTGACCTTCTACAGGTGCACGATAGAGAGTATCCTGACCTTCTACAGGTGCACCATAGAGAGTATCCTGTCCTTCTACAGGTGCACGATAGAGAGTATCCTGTCCTTCTACAGGTGCACCATAGAGAGGATCCTGACCTTCTACAGGTGCACCATAGAGAGGATCCTGACCTTCTACAGGTGCACCATAGAGAGTATCCTGACCTTCTAAAGGTGCACCATAGAGAGTATCCTGACCTTCTACAGGTGCACGATAGAGAGCATCCTGACCTTCTACAGGTGCACCATAGAGAGCATCCTGACCTTCTACAGGTGCACGATAGAGAGTATCCTGACCTTCTACAGGTGCACCATAGAGAGGATCCTGACCTTCTACAGGTGCACCATAGAGAGGATCCTGTCCTTCTACAGGTGCACCATAGAGAGCATCCTGCCCTTCTACAGGTGCACGATAGAGAGGATCCTGACCTTCTACAGGTGCACCATAGAGAGTATCCTGTCCTTCTACAGGTGCACCATAGAGAGTATCCTGTCCTTCTACAGGTGCACCATAGAGAGCATCCTGACCTTCTACAGGTGCACCATAGAGAGCATCCTGACCTTCTACAGGTGCACCATAGAGAGGATCCTGTCCTTCTACAGGTGCACCATAGAGAGCATCCTGACCTTCTACAGGTGCACGATAGAGAGTATCCTGTCCTTCTACAGGTGCACCATAGAGAGGATCCTGACCTTCTACAGGTGCACCATAGAGAGGATCCTGTCCTTCTACAGGTGCACCATAGAGAGCATCCTGACCTTCTACAGGTGCACCATAGAGAGGATCCTGACCTTCTACAGGTGCACGATAGAGAGTATCCTGTCCTTCTACAGGTGCACCATAGAGAGTATCCTGACCTTCTACAGGTGCACCATAGAGAGTATCCTGTCCTTCTACAGGTGCACCATAGAGAGTATCCTGACCTTCTACAGGTGCACCATAGAGAGGATCCTGACTGGCAGCATGACGGCCTTGCCATCCATGGAGGACCTTTACTCCCAGCGGCTCAGGAAGAAATCCCTACGGATTATCAAAGACCCCCATCACCCCAGCCACAAACTGTTCTTTCTGTTGCCGTCTGGCAGACGTTACCGCAGCATCCTGGCAAAAACAAAAAGATTCGGAGACAGTTGCTTCCCGCGGGCAGTGAGACTGTTAAACAAATGAACTGCTGAAACAATTTCATAACATTCATCTGCTACTCAGTAATATATATCTACTATCTAATATATATCATTCCAATAACTTGTATATAGACTCGTACTGCACTATTCCACATACTCACATTATTTTAGAACTATTTTTCTTTTTGTATTACTTTTACTATCTGTATTATGTTGCATTGTTGGAGAAGCCTGTGACATAAGATTTTCAACGACATAATTACTCTGTAGCTATGTCAGATTGACAATAAAGAACCTTGAACCTTGAATAAGAGTGCACACATTAAAATAAAAAGCAGAGGGTAAGGCTAAAAGGAATGGAAAAGGAAGATCAGGTAGAAAAGCCAAAACAGAGAGGAAATGATCTGATCAAATGACGGCATTCAGTGAAAACTAAAAAACTGATAAATATAAGTAAGTAAAAAACAATTATTAGGAAATAACAAGGACAGGGAAAAGAGGAAACAAGATGATTACAAATTAAGTGCAAATCAATTTTTATTTGAACAGACTCACAGGCAGTTTGTTGAACAGCCGAGTGATTCAACAAGTCTTGGCTTTTTCAATTTCTTTGCAGAGAAATTAATCTTGTCCAATTAATCTAAATGATGTAATTAATCCATTTACAAGGCGATAATTCCTCCCTGAGCCCTGCTGCTGCCTGCTGTCTGTTCTGATGCACTGCTTGTCTTTTAAACTGTTATCTATGCAGAAAACGTCCACCGAGCTTTAATCTGTGCTTCAGCAGCACCGGTCAGCTGATCCATTGAGGCAGCTGGAGGTTTCAACACTCAGTCAACAATCATCCCACGTCTATTCAGATTCCCCTGTTGTTTAAGATTACCCCTGACACCAAGGTATTATACAGCAATGATATGAATATGATATTACTCATCAGCTGAGCTCACCTTGGCAGCCACGCTGTTGGGGATGAGCGTCCGGACCACCACCCCGGCCGTCTTCCCGCCCACGATGCCGAAGCCCAATCCGGATCCATCGTTCACGAGCTGGATTTCCTCCACGTGACCCCACTCATCCTTCAGCATAATGATGGGCACACAGACTTTCATTTACAGGCGTTTGATTGATTTTTGATGATCCTTTTTTAAGTTGTTGTTTTATGTCAGTGACACTGGGACAGTGTCTATTTCCTGGGGTTGTTGGGTCTATTCCGTCCTAAGTATTGTATCACCTTATGACTGTTGAAAATAAAAACTATAGAACACAGAAGGAAAAATGTAATCTGACAGACCTATAATAAATATTTAGGTTATATACCAGTACCAAGCAAAGCAGTATATTTTAAGAATCAAATCTGCAATTGAAGTGTAATAAATATAATTATATTATTAAATCTATTTAACATTTTTCTTGGAAGTGTCTTTCCAATAATTTCTCTCAATCAAAGGTGTCCCTGCTTGTTCTAAATATTTTTTCATAAAGAAGACAAATAGAATCTTAATTTTTTTTTTAAAAGGACAATAATGCTACATTATGCACAAATGCTTCAAGTATTGCTGCTCTATATCTCTGTAAAGGTTTCATTCAGTGCTGCTTTGCTGTGTTCTTTTGCTCCCTGTTTATACTGTAGCATGCGTTGCTGTATTACATTCAAGTCAAAAACCTCAAATCTACACAATGAAAGTTAATAAGCTGCATTTCAGGAATCAAAGTGAATTTGATTCAAAGCATTTACTTTTGGTTACAGCAGAAGGCAGAACATTTTGATCAGTTGATTTATTTTATCAAGTCTGTGCAGTCGAATCACATTTATAAACAAATACAAAGTTACTCTCCTTATCAATAAAAAAAATAAAAAATGCGTTAAACTCAAAAAATGCTGTTGTGTTTATTTTTCTCGTTTTTCTGATGTTTATTAGCTGTCGGTCCCTTTTCAATCAAACCTACACGCTACCGTTTTCTAGACTTAACAGGTATGTTATGGTAGTCAAAAAATAAATATATAATATAACCTTCAGCTGTTAACATCTGTATGCCTATATAAAATGTCTTTCTTATTTTGCGCAGTTTGGGATTAAATGTTTGCACAGAAATATTTGTTTGGAGCGTGTTTCACGACAAACACAAACAGCGTTTCATCTGGTCAGCTATTGCTGCTTGTTAAGCTAGAACCGATGCAGACTTGCTGTTGGAGGGTTTAATAAATAGCTTTCACCTCCCACTAGTTGTTTTAGCATCGCCCTTAATGTTGACGGCCCTACAGGCAAAAGCGCAAACGAGAAGGAAGTGGGGACGGTGTAGGGGTCGGTGTGGAGCAGGGCCTCACAGTGCTGCTGGCCGGCTATCTGTCGTCAGGTGAAAGGTCTTTAAAGTGAACCCCAGCAGGTAATTACCAGCTCTCTGATAGCAGCTGCTGATCAATGAGGCTGCAGAACATACCTGCACACACTAACACACACACAGTCTGCTCTCTTATTACAGCTCTCATCTGATAGAGGAGATCTTCCTCTGTTTGATGAAACAAACCTCCTCCTCAGCTGATCCCAGGAGGCTGGAAGAGGCTCTTTGCCTGGTAAAGTCGAATCACACTGAATGTGTTCAATGTTCTCCTCTCCAACAGAAGTTCACTCTTTTCACACGAGGCACTCTGTTACTGCTGGTCGACACTGAGGTAAAGTGTTGAGTTCCTTCTGGTTCTGCAATGAACACAAAGGTGGAAACCACTTTTGCGTCCCTGATATTTCTTTGTTTATTATATCGTGAAAAATAACCAATACATGTGATTAAGTTGACCAACATGTCCTTGTATTTGAAATGTAACTTCCAGACAGAAACATAACACTCTGAAATGAGCTGGAGGTCCCCTGTTCTCACAAAATAGTTTAATTACTCCCCTCGGGGACAAGTATTGAGAATTCAGCCAGCATTAGTTGTATTAGTTTTTGTGCGGTGCTTTTCGTTATCAGATATGTTTACTCTGAGAAAGTCCTGTTCTGGTGGGATGCTTTTGTTGGTCTGTCTTCCACAAGAATAATTAAAGGCTAAATGACAATGATATATTGGGCGGTTTTTTTTATGGCCCAGGTTTTAGGTTTTTATAATAAGTGAATAGATATTAAGAGATTTTAGGAAGACAATTCTGAAAAAAAACACGGCAGACGGAACGGTTTCCACAGCACAGAGTATGAACAAATGTCAAGTATTGGAAGTTGACATCAGATCTCACTGTCTGATTCATCATCTTGCTGACTCTTTTTTGATCATTTTGATTTTATTCTCAACTAATTCCAGACTGTATTTTTATTCAAACAGAAGTTTTTGGCAATTGGCCCCTTAATGGTAGAGCAGGGGTCTCCAACACGTCGATCGCGAGCTACCGGTAGCTCGCAAGCCCTCAATAAGTAGCTCGCCAAGCAAATCCAAAATGTAAAAATACACACACACAAAAAGGAAATAGAGAGAGAGAACTAGAGAGAGCACACCTTTATCTATTTAATATAGTTGTAACAAATAAAGTAAGAAATCATTCCAATGTGTACTATATTGTATTTAAAAGGAGAGTGATTAGTAAAATATGCATACATAAAAAGAAAAAATGCTAACTAGGTAACATAAGATAAGAATAAACAAGTTTAAATGATTTGTTATTGGTTGTGATCATATTCTAAAGATGTTTGGATTATTGAAAAGTATACAGCTCTCTTTCATCTGAGTGTTGAGAGCTGTATCCATCAATTCATGCTGTGCTCAAAGTGCACCAGATTGATGCATTTCACTTCAACATTTAAAAAAAAAATCTTCCCGGGTTGTATGTCCCCGGACCCCCCCGAGAGGATGGGAGGTCCACCCCCAAATAAAGCAGGGTAAAATAATAAAAAATTGCATACATGTTCAAAAAAGAGGAGTAAAAGTAGCTCACGACTTGTTTTATTTTTTGAAAGTAGCTCTCATCCTAAAAAAGGTTGGAGACCCCTGTGATAGAGTATACCCCAGAACAAGGTCAATATTCTTTCTACTTTCAAATATAATCAGTGATGCTTGTTGGGAAAAAGGCCTGTACAAAAAGCATCCATTTTCATATTTGACAAAACCTTTGTTTGGCAAGAGGCGGGTAATGTGAGTTAATAAACTTTCTCCAGTTGTTCTTTAGTTCATTTCCTCATGGCTGAGGCACTTTTAAGCCCCGGCCACACGAGGACGCAAACGGACCGCAATTGTTATCAAAAAAGTATTCCGTCCACACGCAACAGGCACCAGAAACGTGTCCGTTCACACGAGACCGCTCGAAAGCGCTGGAGACGCTGTAGTACATATGCCGAGCCTGTAGGTGGCGCTGTACTCCTACCACAAAAGCAGCGAAGAAGACTTCCCGCGCATGGTTGCCATGGTTGCCCTTCTGTTTATTCTCCGCTGTGGACGCTCTGGCTCTTTTTCTCCCTCCCCGAGGCAAGCGTGTGCTCCTGCTGTAATTCTCTCCGGTTAGTCCACCAGCAGATGAAAAACACCCACCTCTCCGCCTCTTCCAAGGGATGAGGGGACCGTGCGGCAGAGTTTCAGTTAGATTTGTTTTCGCCGGTCAACATGTCCGTTAAAGTTCAAATCTTCCGGACAAAATTAGAAAAGTGCCGGTCAAAGGTCTTCTTTGTTATTTATTGAGCTTTAACCTGTTAAGCCCTGAGCCTGTTTTTCAGGTCTCAGGCTCGAAAATGACATTCCCAGAACAAATGACCATATCTTCCCTTCTAAAAGGGTTAAATTAATAATCTTTTTTCTCAAAGTAATGATAAACCTGTGAGTTGGATGTAGAAAAGTCAGAATCAATATAGATGTTTTTTATTTTAAAGAAAATTCAGATTTTACATTACATTATTTTGTACTTATAGTGAAAACCACCCTTGGATGATGGTAAGGTAGACTAAAAGCTTTATGAATCCAAAGTACAACATATAATAAGTACCCTGTATCAAGATTGATGCAAAACAAGTGACATTTGACCTTTTTAGAAAGATTTAGCAAAAAGAAACCACTTCTGGGGTCATTTGGGTGGATTTTCCATATCTCTGGCCCCCCTTGCTCGATTTTGATGGTTGACACCTCTTTCTGACCGTTAGAGCCAATAGAATCGAAGGGGGAGTCCCCCACACACACACGTTGTGAAGAGAAAAGGTGGGGGCTTTGCGCATGTAATTTTCCATCAGAGTGAACCTATCTCTAGCTTTGACATCTGGAAACGGAAAAGCAGTTTTAATGCTTATGGATTATCAGAAATCATTTCAAAGGGACACAGACACATTAGATTAACCTATGGATTAACTTCAGCAGCGTTTTTATCGTTTTAATGTCATTGAAGACCACTTTGGAGAGACTACAGAGCCAAGGTAAAAATGTTAGCATTTTTAGCTACCTAGCGTCACCTGTTTTGATGTCCGTTTTTGCTTATAACGTCGCAAATACGTATAATTCAGTGTTAATGTCGGTGTCAATCGATTCTGTGTCACCTCACGATGTAAAACAATGTGTTGGATGTGGTGAAAAGATAAATAATAAGGTTTTGTGAGTGATTTTCGGTGCAGTAAGGTGTTAGCATTTTTCGATCGTTGCTAATTCAGAGGCTCAGTGTTAGCATTGTGGGTTTTCTTTTGAAAAATAAATAAAAATGATCAGTTAGATGAGTTTCTTCCCGTTACATGGATATAAAACATTCATAGTTTTATTAAATGAACATGCCCTCAGACACTGTTTCCTGCAAGATGTTTTGGCAGTGCCCCGGTACCGGGGTCTCTCGGGCTTAACAGGTTAAAACAAATGAATAACGACTCTATATAATAATATATGAATAAAAAACGGAGCCTCTCTTTTCCTCCCCCTCTTCTGACAGCCCAGCAGCTGATCTCTGAGCAGGAGAGGTGGGGAGAGGCGGGGCTATTGCTTCAACGTTATCAGGAAATGATCGTATAGGCGTAAACACGGAGCCCTTTGCCCCCCCAGAGCGTTTCGTTCGCAGATCTACCCACCTAGGGACCCGTTATCGTTCTGCGTTTCCATGTCGGCCTTGTGTGGCCGAACCGTCTATCTG